ATAGCTCTGCACGGTGAGGCAGCTGCAGTAGTTTCTCTTGTGAAGCTGCACAGCAATAGAACTTAGTGTCATTTAGCACTGTTTTAGTATAGTGTGGGGTGACAGCCTTACTGCATCTCATATGCAGAGCTTTAGCTTTGAAATGCTCAAAACATGAGGCCATGTGTAGCAGATGGCAGCGTTTCTTCTTCATGAGTTGGTGCTACAGTTGTTCAGTATGTCTCTTCCTAAGTTTTCATGCTGCTGTATGTTCCTCGTTCACGCTGTTGGTACCGACAGCTTTCTGAAGGCTTTGTTTTCCTTGCAGGTGTGCTACACAGGATTTCAGTAGTTTGTGGAATGATCTGAACTGAGTGAGCTTGCCTCAGAGCTGGGTCAGATTTGAAATGTTTTTCTTAATTGCCTAACCTCTTTGATGTTGTAAACTATACCACACAGAACAACAGCAGTTAAGTCCTGTCAAAGCCTTTTGAGAAGAAACTGGTGAATTCATTGACTGCTGTTCTGTAAACCAAGGGTCAGATCTAAGTGTCAGCTACGGCTGTGATTCCAGAACAAGTTTTATTTAGTGGGCAGGTAAAGAGTGGAGGGAAAAGCCATCACAGGAGAGTAAGTGTGTCATTCTTTGTTTTGATTCAGCCCCATAGCACGTGTGTGGCAGGCCACACCATAGTTGGGAGAGTCAGTTCCCTGCAGGAAGGTGGGGATTCAGTGGTGACACTGCAGCTCATTAACACATGTGTAGATTGACTCTGGTGGCTGCTGTCTTTGGCTGTGCCTTCCAGGTGTAATTCACTGTGAAACAATTCCCTGGCAATGTCACGTGTGGGAATCGAGAATTCTTCAGTGTTGCAGTGTCCCATTCCTGATATTTTTGTGGCTATTAGTATCCTCATCTCTGTTAATATTGTGTTTTGAGGGTGCATTTGGGGTTCAGTCACATTAAAGGACTTCTCCATTCCCATGCCTCGGAAACAGCCGTAATCCCGTGAAAAGCTGAATTTTTGTGAGCTGGGAGGAAGGCTGCTCAGCTGCAGGGCTGCCAAGCAGTGGGATGAAGCCCAGGGCTTCCTGAGAATAGGAGCCCTGAGGTTCATCTAGTCCAGCACCAGTAACACAGTGATGTGGCAAAACCAGTGAACCGAGAGCTGGTGAAGATGAGCCTGTGTGTCTGTGTGCATCTTGGTGGGGAGCACTCAGGTCACATCATAGAATCCCAGACTGGTTTGGGTTGGAAGGGCGCTTAAAGCTCATGCAGTTCCAACCTTCTGCCATGGGCAGGGAGACCTTCCACTAGGGCAGGTTTCTCCAAGCCCCTGTGTGCAGCCTGGCCTTGAACACTGCCAGGGATGGGGCAGGCACAGCTCCTCTGGGCACCCTTTGCCAGCGCCTCAGCACCGTCACAGGGAAGAAGAACTGCCTAAGATCTCATGTCCATCTCCCCTGTGTGAGGCTAAAGCCATTCCCCCTTGTCCTGTCCCTATTGGCCATTGTTCAAAGCCCCTGTCACAGTTTCTTGTTTCCCCTTTAGGTACTGGGAGCTGCTCTAGGGTCTCCCCTTTAGACGCCTTGTCTTCTTCAGGCTGAATCAGCCCAGGTCTCTTAGCCTGTCTCCAGAGCAGAACTGCTCCAGCCCTCACGTCATCTCTGTGGCCTTCTCTGGATTTACTCTAACAGGTCCATGTCCATCTTGTGCTGTTGCCCCAGAGCTGTATGAGGATTGCAGGGGGGGTTTCCCCAGAGCTCAGCAGATGGGGAAAATCCCCTTCTCGACCTGCTGCCCAGGATAGTGTTGTTCCCTGATGTGCTGGGAGAGAAGAATGGTTTCGCATGGAGAAGGCTAGTGAGCAGGTGTCATCTTTGTCTTAAAGGCTAAACCTGAGAACATAGAACAGCAAGTTTTGTTTACCTGTTAATTGACAACCTGATTGCTCTTATCCTTTCTCAGATGAAATACCTGTTGACAGTTATGGCTTTTTTTTTTTTTTACCTTTTTTGTTTTTTTCCTTGGAGTGTGGGAACTGAAAGGCATTTCATAAATTTGAAAACCAACCATTTTATCTAACAGTGGCATTTGGGAGGAATAGAGGATGCTGCTGAGAGATAAAGGGAGTTTTTTCTGTATGAGGAAACTTTGAGGTTTTAGTGGGGTGTTCTGGGTTCAGCTATAGTAGTAAATTTTTCTCCTTAGTACCTGGTGCAGTGCTGTTTTTTTGACTTTCAGCCTGGGAACAATGCTGATATCACTGATGTTTTTAGTTGTTGCTAAGTAATGTTTACTCCAACCAAGGACTTTCTCAGTCTCATGTTCTGCTAGGGTGGAGGGGAAGTCATGAGGAAGCAGAGACAGGACACCTGACCCAAAGTGGCCAAAGGGCTATTCCATACCACAGCATGTCATGCCCAGTATATAAACTGGGAGGACTTACCCAGAAGGCCCAGATCACTGTTTGGATTGGGCTGGGTATCGGTCAGTGGGTGGTGAGCAATTGTATCCTCTCCCCTTGTTATTTCCCTTATTATTGTTATTGGTGGTAGTGGTTTTGTATTATACCTTAGTTACTGGACTGCTTTTATCTCAACTCGTGGGAGTTAGCATTCTTTTGATTCTCCTCCCCATCCCTCTGGGAGCTGGGGGAGGAAGAAGGGAGGAAGTGAGCAAGTGGCTGCGTGGGTCCGAGTTACCGGAAGGGAGGAAGTGAGCAAGTGGCTGCGTGGTTCCGAGTTACCGGCTGGGCTTAAACCACGACATGGAGAAATGACCAACATTGTTTGAAAAGTTTGTGAATCAGCACACTGTCAGACTATGATCTAGTGATAAAGTATGCTGTGGAAATTATTAACCTTGAGTTAATCGTCAAGTGACATTTATTGTAACAAGAAATTATCATTTAAGAAATTGTGCTGATCTATTTTTAACCTCTCACCTGTAGCTTTAGTTATCACTGGAGTGTGTCAGAACTGTGTTGCGATCGGATACTGGAAAACACAATCTGAGAGCAAGGCCAATGTATTACCATTTTGTAAAGCAGCTGTTATCATATGTTAAGCCTTCCAGTATCTGAAGGGGCCCTATAAGGATGTCAGGGAGGGACTCTTTGTTAGGGAGTGTAGTGGTAGGACAAGGGGTAATGGGTTTATTTAAGCAGGGGAAGTTTAGGTTAGATATAAGGAAGAAGTTCTGTACAGTGAGGGTGGTAAGGCACTGGAACAGGTTGCCCAAGGAAGTTGTGAATGCTCCAACCCTGGTGGTGTTCAAGGCCAGGTTCAGAGCCTTGGGTGACATAGTTTAGTGTGTGATGTCCCTGCTTATGGCAGGGGGGTTGGAACTAGATGATCTTAAGGTCCTTTCCAACCCTAACTATTCTATGATTCTGTGATTAGGCTTGAGGTGGAGGTTAGCTAGGGCCTGGATGTGCGTTGTTTTCATGAGTGCCTTTTCCCAAGACAAAGTCATGTCATATGCTTAGTGTAAGTATATGTGATACTGTAAGCACATTCTATCGTATTTTCCCCAGTTATGGAGGAATACTGAGAGCTTTTCCGAACTTTAGCTGTTGTCTTTGTCATATCTCCAAAACTGGAGTGCTATAACCCAACTCTTCTCAGTTTCACTCCTTATAAACTGGTAGGTGTACACAAACAATTTATAAATTGGCAAAACACTTTGCTAATTTTATCTTTTAGATATTAGCATCTGATTTACAAATTGGCAAAATTGTTGTTGATCTCACCTACGTTATTTCCCATGCTGTTCTTTGGTTAGGAGGCTAATCTGCACCTTAGACTAGTTTTGTGGGATATATGAAGCCCAAACTGATCTTAATTTGAAAGTGGGCAATTGATTTGCAATTTTAAAGTCATTGCCAAGTTTTCCTACATCTCTAGCATGTAATTCCTATTAAAAATAGGTATGTCAGTAATTGTACAGATGTTATGATGGTTTTAGAACAAGATTGGGGAGTGCATTTCAGACTTTCTTTGGTCTGACATTACCTTTTGAAAATATTTTTTCATCTATTAAAATATTTGTGTAAAACTCAAGGCAAATCACTAATAACTTTTTTCTTTTTTTTTTTTTTTTTAATTTGGTGATGTCTCGTGACTCTTTTTAGAGGTCAGGTTGCTGTTACTTTGAATATTTTATGTTAACAAAACATTCTGTCCTGTGATATTTATAGTTTCTTTCGTAGAAATGTTGAAGTATTGATCAAGAACTGACCAAGAAAATAGACACTGATAGATAGGCTTCAAAGGGCAGCTAAAGAACATGGATCTGTGTGGTACATTTGTTTTTATGTTTAATGGTATGAAAATCAATGTGTTAAAGAGGAGCTTTTGCAGTAGTGGTGTTGACAGACACTAGTTTTGGCAATGGTGGGATTTGAGGGGAGTTTCACCTCGTATTGACACTGTTAATTATGGTTTTCTTTTTGTGTTTGTTTTTTTGTTTTTTTTTTTCCTAGGAAAAAAAGAAGAAAAGTAGTGAGGAGACCCAGGTACAAGAGTCTGATGATGTTTTCCTCCCTCCTGTGGCAGATGTGTCTTCTCAAGCCAATAAAGTGCAAGTGGAACATCCTGGAGAATTTACAGAAATTCATCTCAGTGGGGAAGCAGAGGATGGAAAACCCAGAAGTGATGTGTTTGACATCCCCCAGAGTAATTTATCTTCAGCATATGAAGGGTCTTTGACAGCAACTCTGGAGCCTCCCACAGGTGCAGAAGAGCTCAGAGCCTATCCTTCCCATAAGGAATGTGGGGAAGATGTTGAGAAGAGTGGAAAAAGCAAATTGGACAAACCTCACAGCTCTGTGGAGGTGGTTGCTAACAGATCAGGAAACTCTGATGTGTTGAGTAGTACCTTTCATTCCAGTGCTGCTGGCTTGCAGGCAGTAGCGGGCTTTGTACAAGATAAAGGACCTGAAAATGTACAAAAAGTTAAAAATCCTCTTGTCTGTTCTTCAGAGAAGCTCCCTCTTAGTATCTCACAGCTCTCTGAGAAATCCAAAGCACGTGTTTCGCGGCCAGTATTCAAACCAGTTTATCCAGACTTGTCAGCTGAACTGTCTTACGAGAGACCAACCATAATAGCAGTTAAGCCACTGTTGCACAATGAAAGGCTCTATCCAGAGCTGCCTACCGAGCCAGAGCTGGTGGCATTTACCAGGGAACAGCTCAAAATCTTTGAGCCATGTTCATGGCTGGAGAACGTTGATTCCTACACGGAGGAATTTGAAAGCGTTGCTCATCAGGACAGGCACGAGTTCTATGAACTGCTCCTGAACTACATGCGTTGCAGGAAGCAGCTGTTGCTGGCTGAGGCAGAGCTCCAGGCTATGGCTACAGACTGCCAAAACGTTAAGGGGAGATTATGGACTTTTACAGAAGAACAGAAAACTGTGCAGGTGCTGTTGCCAAATCCACTTTTGAACCCAAAATATTTGGATGTGATTCCAGACATTAAGTTTACTTGCTGTTAAGTTTATCGTGTTTAAGCTGTTTTGTTTTGAAAAAGGTGGTTGCTTTTGCTTTCTGTCTCTCCACTGACCTGCAGCACTTCACGGTGTCATCCTGTTGAGATTTAAGACAGTTTGTTGTTTGTTATTTAAACTCTGATGGGTGTAGGGTAGACTCTCTTTTGGAGTCAGACTCACTTCTGCAGTCAATCAGAACAAGCTGTGCACACACAGTTCTGCCTGTAGCATGGGGTGAATTTTGTATCACAGTACTCCGAGTAGATGCAGGACATAGTGGGTGGAGGAGGACTTCAGAATGACTGTAGTGGTGATGTCATAGAATCATAGAATAGTTAGGGTTGGAAAGGACCTTAAGATCATCTAGTTCCAACTCTCCTGCCATAAGCAGGGATACCACACACTAAACTATGTCGCCCAAGGATCTGTCCAACCTCGCCTTGAACACCGCCAGGGTTGGAGCATTCACAACTTCCTTGGGCAACCTATTCCAGTGCCTCACCACCCTCACTGTGAAGAACTTCTTCCTTATATCTAACCTAAAGTTCCCCTGTTTAAGTTTAAAGCCATTATCCCTTGTCCTACCACTAGAGTCCCTAATGAAGAGTCCCTCCCCAGCATCCTTGTAGGCCCCCTTCAGATATTGGAAGGCTGCTGTAAGTTCTCCACGCAGCCTTCTCTTTTCCAGGCTGAACACCCTCAACTTTCTCAGCCTATCTTCATACGGGAGGTGCTCCAGTCCTCTTATCATCCTTGTGGCCCTCCTCTGGACTTGCTCCAACAGCTCCATCTCCTTTTTATGTAGAGGACACCAGAACTGTACACAATACTCCAAGTGAGGTCCCATCTGCCTTGCTGCCTGTAGTGACAGTTTTCATTGATGTCATTCCTGGCTATGCTGCTGCTAGAGGTGGCAACTGCAGAGGAGCTTGAGCCATGCTTTTGGCCAATCCTGTTGCTCAAAGCAGAGGGAGCATGAGGTCCATCCACTTCCAGTAACTGTTGCTCCGTAAGTGTAGCTGTAGTTTTAGCTACTTCCAGAGTGTTCATGGCTCTCTGTAGCCTTTCTGTCTGCAAACCAGAGAGCTTTGGGGAGCACTTTGGGGCGCACATCACGAAAGTTTTTCTCCAAACTCGTTTTGTGTCACTTGTCTTTGGAACTGGATGTTACAGTGGGAAATTACTCTGGCTCTCTGATACTGTTTATAGCCAACATATCACCAGAATTGTCCAAGGGTGCTAAAGACCTATGTATGTGTTAGCTTTTACTATTATTTCTGTGAGTGCAGTGCCTCTCCTGTGCAGTTCCTCAGAGCTGAGACACTGAGAGGCATCCATGTGAACAGATCTGAATCTTCCTTTTTACTGGGGAACAACACTGAACCTCATGGGACTCTCAGTTTTCTGCTCATCACTTTCTACACTGAAAACAATTCTGGCTTGACTCTTACAACCCCACTGGTCATCATACAGTTGGGCTAAGCTTGCTGCTTGCTTTATTCCATTCCAATTCACTGTTTATTTATTGTATGTCCAGAATAATTGTCTTTGCACCAATTTGGACAGAGTCTTGGGTGACATGGTCTAGTGTGAGGTGTCCTTATCCATAGCAGTGGGGTTGGAACTGGATCATCTTAAGGTCCTTTCCAACCCAAATTCTATGATTCTGGTTTAAAATTCTTATTCTACTAGCTTAGGAAACACAGGTGTATTCATGCTAAGCGTCCAAAGTGCTGCTTCTGAAGTATGTTTTCTGTTGCATAAAAATAAAACAGGAATGTTATGTATTGTGGCTTTCTTGTGCTGAAGAATTAAGAGATCATGGAATCAACTAGGTTGGAAGAGACCTTTAAGATCATTGGGTCCAGGAGGCAGGGCAGAGGAAGGCTGGCCTCAGATCTTAATTCCAGTTTGGGAAAAAGTTGCATTGCAGTTAACATCTCAAAATTTTAAACATAAAATGGAGAATTGCTGCAGATACTCAGTTCTGAGAGCTTAGGAACAAATCTATCTTGTTTCAGTATGTATGTTAGCTGTAAAAAACCCAAGCTGTAAAAAGCTCCAAATGTTTATCTAAATCTATAAAGAAGCAGGTGTGCTAACTGGGAATGAAACTTGTCTTTGTTCACATCTGTAAGTGATACAGACAAGTCACTTCAGGTCTGTTTCTAAATCTGAGTTACTGAGGGTTTCTAGGGTTATTTTTTCAGAAGTCAAGGATGTGAATCTTCCATAATCAGTAGCTCTGAAAAGTATGTAGGATGTTCCCAAGTATCTGTCTTTTCTACTTACGTTTTGTTCCCTTCCGTGAAAGCTGTGAAATCTGTTGAGGAGTGGATTGTGTCAAGGTTAATTTCTGTAAGCATGCTTGACCCAAGAAAATGGCAGAACCACTTACATGAAATAATTGGTCTCTTTCCAGGGTGTCTGTGCAGATCAGTGCAAAGTGACGGGTCACCATCGCTACCAGACAGTGGAGCTGAATGACAGTGCGTTGGGGGAACTGAAAAGGCTGTTGGAAGCCAAAGCAGAGCACGTGCATCAGACACTGGCACTGCACTCATACACTTCGGTGTTGTCCCGGTTGCAGGTGGAGTCGTATGTCTACAGGTTGCTCAGCAGCTCATCCCTCCTGAGATCAGTGGCTCTTCAGCAACAGGAACAAGGTGTGTTGCTGGTCCGGACCGCCCTCCATGCTGCTCACACTGGCCAGCACCTTGTTCACCTGCAGTTTGGAGTCTCATGGTAGAATTTGCATGCTGGAGTGTTTCTCCTCTGATACTAAAATCTGCTGAACTCTTGTAGGGATCAAAGAAACTTTGTTCTCACAGGAAAAGCAAAAATGCTCTTAAATTATCCACCTGCAGAGTGGAAGCTGAATGCAGGAGTGCTTTCTTCTTCACACCAGGTGGGATGGGACACCCAGACTCCAGACTTTTGTTGTCAAAGGCAATGTGTAGTACAGTGCCTTCTCTAAACTGATTGTGCACAATTCTAAAACCAGCTGGATAATTTTCCTCCTTTACTGTCTCTTTGAAGGCCATTTGAAATTTTGCAGCACTAATTCTTAGAAATCCTTTTGTTTATCATCCTAGGTGTATTACTTACTTGGGTTTGTTCCAGTATAATATTTTTGCTAAAGTATTCCTCCTGCTTCTGCCCTGGACGTTTATCCTTCCTACTCCTCCTCCCTTTGTCTCCATCTCCTAGGTGGTTTATATGCATGGTAAATGATGGTTTGTACAGTTTCCGTTGAAGGGAGACCTTTTATGAGAGTATCCATAGTATATTCTTCCTGTAATTAGTGTCTGGTGTTTAATTATAAGATTATATGAAGTCCTCTACATGAGTTTTCTTCTTTGTCAGATTTAGCAAGCAGCTGTGTTGAAATATCTTGGTATCTATCGATACAGAGAGGAAGTTTTCAGTATAGCCCCAAAACCACTACTTACACAAGTATTCTGAGAGCTGCTCATCAAAGCTCCTTAATTATCTTTTTTATTTACAGTTTCAAAGCAGTCAGAAAATCTATCTTCAGACTTGGGCCACTTGAAGGAGTGTATCAGCGTCCTTTTCAGTTTTACTCGCAGAGTTATTGAAGATCCTCAGTTCCAGAGTGACCTTCTCATGTGGCTGCAGAGACTGGTGAGGGAGTAAGCATGGATGTGTCTGATCCAGCATGTAGGATGAATTTGGGAGTGATTTCTGCAAGTGTTACTGTTTCTCTCACTGTCCCATGTGCAGTGATTTTCTGGTGGTTTGTTCTACCTGAGGAACAGAATTTGTAGTTCGATTGAATTCACTTGTCTGATGAAGTCAGTGGAAGTCAGCAGCATTAACGAGGGCTGGCACCTGAGCAGCCAACACTGCTCAGAGTGGACTTAATATTCATCATGCTTTTATTTTTGAAGTTAAAACTAATTAGACTTGTAATTTTTGAGAAACTTCTATTCTTGCTTATTTCTAAGTGAATTAGTTTTTAATGAAATTTCAAAGTAATTAATTTTATGCACCAAAGAAGACAATTTGTATCTCATAAGCTGAGCAAGCAGACTTAAATATTGTTCTCTTGTAACTTGCTCGGAAAATTGAAGTTTGTTAGAAAGCATGGGGAAGAGAAATGAAAACACAGTATTACTCTAGTTAGCAAAGGAATGAACCTTGAAATTGTTCACAAGATTCCAATATTCTTCCCTTTAGGTGTCTGTGTTACAAAGAATTGGCTGTCCAGGTGACCACCTCTTCCTTTTCAACCACATCCTTCGGTGTCCAGCTGGGATCAGTGAATGGGCTTGTCCATTCATTCAGGTGTGAATGTTAATTCTTTATTGTCAGAAAGTTGAAGTGGAGTGGGGAAGAGAGGAGAGTGTCTTGTGCCTGGTCAGCTCCTCATGCTGACACCGTGTTTCCAGGCATTTGGATCATCTTTACAGTGAGGGGTTTGTCAAGGGATGTATTTACTGATGTTAGCCCAACCATGAACAGGTTAACGGGGAAACACCATGAAAGGGAGTCAAGGTTTTGGGAGTGCTCTCTAAGAAATGGGAAGAATATTCAGACTTGAAGCAGTAACCGTATATAAGACCAGTGAGGTTGGAGGTGGCTCTGATTGGTGTGTAAGGAATGAAGAACAGATTTTTATATCCTGCATAGTGAAATGGGACGGGTTTCCTTTATTAGTTATGTAATTTCAAGGTCAAGGAAAGAGCTCGCTCTGTATAGATCAGAGGGAGTGCAGATACCCAAAAGCACCAGGCCTTTCTTGCAGAGAGCATTTTTTTCTCCTCCAAAAGGGGAAGCTGTTGGAAATGTAGCTGTAGGAAGAGGATTGCAATTACACAAAATGGGGAAAGGCAAGCAATGAAATAAAATGATAGAATACAATCACTTAGGTTGGAAAAGACCCTTAAGATCTCGGAGTGCAAGCATTAACCTCATATGGTAGGATCCTAACTTCCCCTGTGCTCAACATCCCATTTCCCCTGGTGCCCAGCAGTACATGTGAAACAGAAGCTGTCTCTTTTATGGAGCTTTTGATGGTTATTTTTCCTTTGCTCGTTTAATTTTTGTAACTACTGCTTTTGAACAACTGCCAATATCTTGTCATAGCAATATTTTCTCCAGGGTGTGGGTACTGTCTTGGACAGATACTTTTTAGTCTGAACAAAGAGATAGTGGAAAATGTGAAACTTGAATTTTGAATTTCTCTGCTAAAACTAATTTGCCCTTTATTTGGCTTATTTATATTTACTTAGATTTTTGCATTTAATTTCAGATCAAAGTCTTGGATAACCCATCAGGTGTCTTTCATTTCATGCAGTCTCTCGCCTTGCTTATGTCTCCTGTCAAGTAAGTATGAATTTAGTTTTATAAATATGTTCTAATTATTTAAAAGGAGAAAACATGACACATGATCTCCTTGTAGAAGTCTGAAAGTTCATTGCAGGCAGTCATAAAAGCAGGCACAAGTAAGAAACTTGCAGTTTAGATGAAACTCTTTTTACTCATTCATCTTAAAACACAGCCCTGGCAGTACATTCTTCTACTGTGCATGGTGCGATGCAGCTTGCTTTCAGCTGTCAAACAGCTTGTGAAGACTTACATACCCGCATGTTTTGTTACTGTGAGTTCTTGCCTAGCTCAATGGTCTGTTCATTATACTGTCTTGGCAACAGAAGCACTTCAGTGAGGGTTTGCTAAATTGGTTTATTTGGTGGTTAGGCTTCGTAATTTATTTTTCATCCTTTTTTTTAATCTGTAAATAATACTTGGTGCTTGGAGAAGCTAGTTAATGAAATCGGTCATTAGTGAAAGCACTTAAGTACTTCAGATTAAATATATAATTTGCTTCCCTCTCTGCCCAAATTTTAAAGAGTCAGATTGCTGGTATTTAGAGTTGTCACAGTGATTTTGATAGCCTGACCCTTAGTTAAGTGGGAGTCCTGTTTATTGGAAGCTATTATTTTGAAGAGTTTTGTTTTCACATTTCTTTTCTACAGCTGCCTGGGGAAACAAGAGTTCTGAGGGCATGAGTATTGCCAGTGCATTTTGATGCTTGTGTTTTGAACAAGGGCTGACTTAAGTATCTGGAGTGATGCTCTCAACTGTTGATACAATAATGTAGAGCCTCCACAATGGCTGTACTTACCGATAAAAGAGCTGAGACTTGTCTGTTACAGGTGCTGCATGTTAGGAACAAATTTGAATGCTGAATTTGGTTTGTGAGATCAGTATCTTAATAGGAATGTATTAAAAATTAAATGCAAATTTTATCAGAGTATGAATTTAAGATCAGAGGGTGATACTATGCTGGAGTTTTGTGGCACTTTCTGCAGAGTCCTGCCAATACATTTCAAGTTAGAAGGAAGTTGGTTGTTAGGATTTTAACTTTTTATATAACCTTTCTGCACATTTTTTTAACTTGCTGTTGTATCTGAACAGCTAAGGATTTATATGGTATAGAATCTGAAGATCAGTATCCCAGACATAAGGTGATCTAATATATGGAACTGGAGGTGGCTGGATTTGAGGCAGCTCTTTCCTGGAAGGTCTTCAGTTGTGGTAGCTCAGCATACATAGGACTAGTCTTACTAGCACTGATGTGGTGTCCAGCTAATGCAGCTATGAATGTTATGTAGTGGAGCACTCATCCTGTTTGTTGTTGAATTAGTGGGTGATAGCCATAAATGATTGCCATAAAGGACATCTTCTGAAGAATGATATCCTTCTTTTGATTTTTTCTTTTTTTAAAGGCATTGTCTAACACATGTGCAAGACCAGTGTTGTTTCTTGCATATTTGCCTGTGCTTCTGTACAGGGCTGATAGCCATTTACGTTGCTCAGAATATTGTTTGGAAGATCGTTTACTGAATACAGCATATTTGTGTGAGTCTTGAAGGACCAAGGTTATCATAGAATCATTTAGAATCGTGGAATCATTTAGGCTGGAACGGACTTTCAAGGTCATTGGGTCCAACCGTAAACCTAACACTGCCAAGTCCACCACTAAACCATGTGACTAAGTGCCACATCTACACATGTTTTTAAACACCACCAGGGATGGTGACTCCACCACTGCCCTGGGCAGCCTGTTCCAGTGCTTGACAAGCCTTTTGGTGGAGAAATTGTTCCTAATCTCCAGTGTAAACCTTCCCTGGCGCAGCTTGAGGCCATTTCCTCTTGTCCTTGTTACTTGTTACCGGGGAAATGAGACGACCCCCACCTCACTAAAACCTCTTGTCAAGTAGTTGTAGAGAGCAATAAGGTTCCCCCTGAGCCTTCTCTTCTCCAGACTAAATGCCTTCAGGTCCCTCACCTGTTCCTCATTACACTTGTGCTCCAGGCACTGCACCAGCTCTGTTTGCCCTTCTCTGGACCTGCTCCAGCACCTCAGTGTCTCTCTTGTAGTGAGGGGCCCAGAACTGAACACAGGATTTGAGGTGTAGCCTCACCAGAGCACAGTATAGGAGGATGATCACTGCCCTGGCCCTGCTGCCACACTATTGCTGATACAGGCCAGGATGCCTTCTTGGCTGCCTGGGCAAACTGCTGGCTCATATTCTGTTGGCAGAAGACCAATGCCCCCAGGTTCTTTTCTACTGGGCTGCTTTCTGACATAGTTGTTTATTTCTTGTATTTGTATTTCTAATATCTCCTCCTAAATAAAAGATGACTTAATTCAGAATTTTTAATTTTCTGTGAACTTTATTTTTCACTTCAAATCAGAAATCGGGTGGACTTTGTGTGCCATATGAAACCAACTGAAAGGAAAAGTTCCTCTTCATCTGGGAAAGAATCTGGGAACTGGACTCTGGTAGATGAAGGAGGAGAAGAGGTATGGCAAAAGACTTCTTTCTTTTTTTCCGTTTATGCTTTTGCTTAGCTTATTGTATTGTTTTTTTTTTTTTTTTTTTCTGAAATAGAGAAAAAAAGCTGACTTCTCTGGTTAAATAACGTCATTCAAAACTTAGATCTGTTTTATTCTCCTTTTGTCTCTGTGATATAACTGTAAATAGTGGAGCTTCCAGAATGAGTATTACTGGTAGGATTTAAATTTTTGAGCTGTTGTGTGCAAAAGGAGCATGGCAGTAGACATATAGGTGAACAACTTCCTTTTAGAAGCTGTGTTGGACTAACATAGCATTGCCTCTAGTTCTGTTCCCTAACTGATGAGCACTTTTATGTAAGAACGTACAGAGAAGAGGAATTTAGAGGCTTATAATGTGGGAAGGAGAGTTTATTTGTGCTTTCTTTGTTTTTCTCTTACAAGCAAAATGGAGTTAGCACGGTAGCAATGCCCTTTTACAATATATTTTATTGTAAAGCTACTAAAAGTGTCTGTATTTTTCTATAGGATGAGGATCCTGAAACAAGCTGGATTCTGCTTTTGGAAGATGACTTGATTGCCCTGTTGTCACAGTTTCCATTTCATGAACTCTTTCAGCAGTTCCTTGGGTTTAAATCTGGAGGTATATCAGCTGCTAAAGAGTTATTATTCATTTTGCTTACACTAATTGTATTAATGATTAAAACTGCCAAGAATGCTGCTGCATTATGAGAGTCTGAGTGAAGTAAAAATGAAACTGTGCATAGCTCACAGACTAAATAGATGAGACGAAAGTTATCCCATGTGTATGGGATAACTTAAATACTTATAGCCATACTAGCATGCAAAACATTAGTTTTGATCTGCTTGGTATTACACTCCCAGATGTGCTTTCAGAAATAATTTTGTTTCTTTTCCTCTTAGTTGAAATGTTACTGTGATTTTTCTCTATTTATTAATTCTTTATTTTGCTGAATCTCTGGACAAGTACAAGAAGATAATTGCATGCTAGAGGTCTTATAACCTGCGTAATTTTGTTTGTACTTTCACATTTAAAACATATTAATTGTTCATTTCCTAAGCAAAATATAAATATCAGTTCATTACATAGCTAGCAAACAACAATCTGTTTGCCAGGTCTGTGGTGAATCGTTTCTTTGAATGCTTGTGAAGTTACTTTAAAAATCCAGAATTCACACTTTTTTTGAGACTTTATTTTTATTTCTTTTTGTCTTGGTCTTAGGTGCTTATTTTCCTGAAAAAACAACTCCCCAGGAGATGATGAAGATTTTTGCATTTGCAAATTCCTTAGTGGAGCTTCTGTCTGCGGGGTTGGAAACATTTAACAGAGCACGGTACCGACAGTTTGTGAAGCGAATTGGTCAGCTGATCAAGTAAGAAAATATTTTCTCTGTGACATGATTTAATTTTTTAATACAATCTGGTTTAAAGTGTTTAAAAAAAAACCCAACCAAAACAAACAAAAAAACCCCAAACAGAGCTTGGGTAGATTTTGCCATGACTGTTGGTCAGTTTAGGGATAGCAGTCTGATAATCTGTAATTTTAGAGTCCCTCACTCTAAAGCTGGGGAATTGTAGAGTCTAAATGCTGTGGGTATGAAGGAGCTGGGTGAGCTGTGGAACACCAGGCTAACTTCCATCAGGTATATGCTTAGGCTTGTCTTGGGAAGACACTGAAATCCAACAAATAGTTTCTCAAATCACCCCTTCGTATAACAAATATTAGTGTTTGCTTTCTGTTGTTATCCAGATATAGTGCTTTTAATATGCTCCTTGAAAATCATCATACGGTTGAAGTAAGCAAATGTAATTGAAATCTAGGAGTTGCTCTTTATTTTTAAATCTCTAGCAGTCATTTCATAGAAGCAGTGGCTTCTATGAGTGTGTTTTCAAGGAAACAAAATCCTTGTTTGTCTTTGTGTTATTAGAAGAGTAACTTTCTTAGTATAATTATTCCTGTATAATCCTGCCATGTAGGATTGGGTTGGATGGGACTTGGAGCTACTTTAAGGTCCCTTCAATCCAAACCATTCTGTGATTACCTTAAGGCTCCAAACAAAGTTCATACACAAACTAGTTTGGTATAACAGAATATTATACATTCTTTGCTTGCAAAACCAAGGAAGGAAAACATAGGAATTTTAGATTACTGCTGTTTACATAGAAATCTCTGGAAATCAGAGGGCAAAGTGTTGAGCATGGCTCTGATCTTGTTGCACTTGTCTGTGTTTTTGTACAGTGATGACATACTTAACGATCCTTCTTCCACTTGTTTGTTCTGCTGTGCAGGATGACACTTTGTCATGTGAGTGACCACTGGGCCCAATATGTTAGCAGCAATAAACAATATGGATCAGTAGCACACCCCTACTCTGTGGAAAAATTGCAGCTGGAGTTTGATGAACTGTTTTTCAGAGCTGTTCTACATGTTCTGAAGGCAAAAAGGTAGGCTGTCCCATGGGATTGATACTGGCTTCATCTTGGAGGAGTTAGATATTTGAAACGGGGAGTTGAAGTGACTTTGAATGCTTAATGGTTTAAATAACACTGCAGTATGCAGGATTTTTAAGCACACTGGTAGCATCAAGATGGGGAGGAATTATGCCTTGAATTCTAGCACCTGACAGAAGCTCTTGCTCAGTTCAAAATGAGGTTAACTCAGAATTCAAGATACCAACACACATCCTAATTCTGTTACATGGCAGAAATACATGAGTATGTCTCCTTTTAAAATGTTGGAATTTATCAGGGTGACACTGTTTCTGTCCGCCTCTTCAAATCCAACAGATTGGGAGTCTGGTTGTTCATGTCCGAGATGCCTTATGGAACCTTATCCAGCAGTATGCTTTGGAGGCTCTTCTTTGTAATGCACTGTGCAGAGAGTGAGAACCTGGAAAACCTCTGCTCTACTTTGCAACCTGCTGACTGCAAGCAAAGACTCAAAGGTAGAATTCCTGTGCTCAGAACCAGTTCTAATCTATTTGGCTGCTGCTGCGTAAGCTACATGTTTAATACTTTGCAGGTTCCATTGTTAAATGGGTCCAGAGGCCTTAGAACTGTCTTGAGTAGTTCATGGTCTTCCAGTACTTGTGTGCCCAGACTTTCATTTTTAACAGGAATTGTTGGATCTACTGTCCCTTTAGTTTTTTTTTAGCTACATTTTCTGTATCCCGGTATCAGGTCCCATCTTGACCTTTGATAGAATTTGATCATATAAATACCCCAGTCCTCCTTTCTCCCCTCTCCCCAAGACTTGCTAGTTTTAGCTTCAGTAATTTACACTGTGGGAGATCTGCTTATCTTCCACAACTACAGATGTTTCCCTTACTTCAAGCCTTCTTTTGACGCTTTTCCTATATGCCAATTTTCTTTCTGTTTCCCCTTGACTTCTGTCCTGTATTGATCTCCTCAGTGATTGTGGTAGCTTCAGCTATAGCAGAGTTACTTAAATGCCAGCTGGAATGCTGCTTTCGCTGTGCTGCTGCCTTCATGGAAAGTATTCCAGGATTTAATTGGCAGGGAGACAGGTAAACAAAGCTGTAACTTCACAGCCTCTTTGCTGTCTTCAGGGGGAGCAAATCTCGCTGTCAGTTTTACTTTTCAGCTCTGTGGTAGCCCAGAAGCTGTTAGCAGATTAACCAAGTCTTTTGATGGAGAAGCAGGAGAAAATGGTGATCTTGAGGTTATTGAGTGTCTTGACTCTGTACAAGTTCAGCTGACGTTGAAGGCAATTTATGCAAAGTAGGAGGGAGATCAAGACTATAGCTGTGTACACTTCATGAGGTGCTGATCTGGTTAGTATTTGCTACCCAAAACAGTGAGTTACATGCTTTCAGTAAGACTTATTTGTTTTTGCAAGAAATTTTTACTGCATCTCAAGCAAAGAGAATGTAGTATGTTGTGGTGGGTTGCAGCTCTGGCAGTAGCAAATACTGATTTGTTTTGTTCAGGCTTTGTTCTGCTTTTAGGTAACTTTTATGTTTCGAAGTCCCTTGTATGCTGATGCAGGATATTTTCTATCTTCTTCATTCTCCTTGTTGGGTTATGTCAGCATAATACTGTTTGTCACAAATGTCTAGACAGTTCTTTCAGTGAAATTCATCTAATCTGAAAGAGCTTCTTCTGACTAACACTTATTAATATAATGCTGACATAATTTCCTGTAATTCGTACCCTATAAGACCACGGTATTAACATTCTCTTGGGAGAAAACCTTTTTCAGTGATTTCCCTTTCAAAATTAAGTTTGAGAAATGTTAAGAGTGTATCTAGAGGTGGTAGCAAGCTTTGGCTAACTGATGGAAGATTTAAGCTTGCATCTATAGAGGTGGGAGCACAGTTGCTTTTAAGATATAGGAGAAATAGCATAATAAAATGGAGTGCAGTGGTGGAGCTGCACTTACTAGGTTAACTTCTTAACTATGAGAGCTACCAGATATAAAATAAACCTGTGGGGACATACGGGAAATCTGGTTACTTGACATGTTCTCAACTGGACCAAATGTTAATAAACTTACTGTGGAACAAATGTTTTCACTGACAAGCAAGGACCTTACCGTTTCTTCTTGATGTTTGATGCCTGTACGAGTGAGTACAGCGTGTGTTCTCTGTAAGTTTTATTAATAAAGGATTAACAGCTTTGTCCTTTCTTCTGTTGCAATTGACAGTAAGAACCTGCTGCACAACATTTCTTGTTACAGTTTCTTTACTGCCAGTATCAAGATTTAAGGAGCCATTGATTCAGAGTCTCTCTGAACTTGAATTGCAGCATGGTAAAACGTACAGAGGAGGAAGGGAATTGGCTCAAGTAGCAGCTGTGTGGAGAAGTTGTCATTGCCCTGCTGTAAGGTGATAGGGTTAAGGTGGAGTCTCGTTTCTTCCTTTTTTGCCTTGTCCCCATCCTTCACTGCCAAGCTGTGGCTTGGTGTGGGTTTGAGGTTGGTGTGGGATCTGCAGCATGTGGGCCCTATAGGCTGATCACAGAGGAAGGTGTAGCTGAAGCAGAAAGTTTCAGGGAGATTGCAGAGCTATGACTTGCAGCAGACAAGGTCTAGTGCACATATGCTCAGAAGCCGACACCAGCCCTTCTCTTTCCTTTCATATAATCTTTGCCCTTAACTTTACCAGATCTTGTTTTTCTCTTCTGTCCTTCTTCAAACCCCTTCTCTTTTGCTTAACTGGTCTGACAGACACTTCACAGGGAAATAGGACAATTGCTGTCATAGACATCCGTTACCTGCATGTTCTACCCCTTCTCAACGTTTGTGGGTCATTCTGCTATGCCTTTACATGTAGTCCTTTTTTCTTTTTTGGTCTTTCTGCATTACCTAAAAAAAAACCCAAAAAATCAACACAAAACAACAACAAAACCCACAGCGCTCTTAACTTCTACTGTAAGGATAAAAGCGATAAGGTCTAGTGGTGGACTTGGCAGTGCTGGGGTAAAGGTTGGATGTGTTGATCTTAAAGGTCTTTTCCAACCTGGTTGATTCTATGACTTTATGAAAAGGTAGCATTAAGAAAGGGAGATTAATAGATGAGACACCCCATGTATGTCTGTTGTATCTGTCAGTTGTGTAGCTTATCTTATATGGAAAATCTCTTCGCTTAAATTGCACAATCCTCTAGCACAGTGTTCATGAGATGTTTTGGCTGTGTGAGTCTGACCTTCTCAGGTTGAAGTACAGTTGCTATATTCTTGAAAGCCCTTAAAATAGAATGTAACCTAAGTGGAAGTGTTTAATCACAAGCATGCTGAGCACATGCCTGTGAAGTTTAAGTAGATGAGTGTCACAATGGGTGCTTTCAGTATATTCTAATGCTGTGATAAGATAACTGTAAACAGTGTTGACTGGCATGTTATTAGGCAGAATTTCTCCCCTGTGAGGGTGCTGAGGCACTTGCACAGGTTGCCCAGGGAAGATGTGTCTGCCCCATCCCTGGCAGTGTTCAAGGCCAGGTTGGACAGAGGCGCTTGGAGCAACCTGCTCTAGTGGAAGGTGTCCATGCCACTGGCAAGGGCTTGGAACTGGAGGAGCTTTATGCTCCCTTCCAACCCAAACCAGTCTGGGATTCTGTATGTTGTTCTTCAGAAGAAGCAGACGTCTCTCCAAACTATTTTACAGCTCAAATGCAGCTTTCAGTGCTTGTTTTGCTGCACTGAGCCTATTTAAAGTTATTTGGAAGAAATAAAAATTATTTTAAAGTCCTGTACAGGTTTCATTACACAACCTTCCTGTTACCCCACCCACTCAGAGGAATGAAATGTCTATTTACATTTGGCAACATCTCATTATTAATTTTAAAGAGAAAACCTGCCATGAATTCAAGTGAAAGCATCTCTTAGCTTTTCTCGCCTGTGCAGCTGCAGTTCTCTGTTTTCAGAGATGTTTTCCAAACAAGTGCATTCATTAATTTTCTTGTATTGAGTTTGGGAGACTGAAACAGATCTTCTTTCTTGTGATCTTTAGACATAATCTAAGCCCAGGGCTAGATGCTTTGACGTATTTTTATCTTAATCAGCATATAATGATCTCCCCAGTTTAAATGCTGCTTGAGTTCGTGGTATGTGGAATGGCCAGAGTCTATCAACTTGACCAAAACCTCTCTGCTGTGTTTGAATGGGTTTAATATTAATCTTCTTTTGGCTCTGTGCTGATTAAAACTAATACTCTTTCATGTAATTTGGGTTTAATCTGAGAATTAATTGTTCCAATATGTCATGGAAGCTAAAACTGTGATGACATTTTTGAAAAGAAAGATTCAAGCAGTTCTTCCTGTTGGTGATCAACATTGCATAGTTAAAATGATGTCAAAAATTGAATTCCAGCTCTTCTTGAAGCAGTTTTAGCTTTTGTTGTTAATTACTAGCATGTTAACTGAATCATATGGGCTTACTGCACATTATGGTGTTTCTAGCACCTTATATTTAAAGCTGGTAGCAGCCAGTTCTGGAGAGAGGATACTAATTTACAAGCCTTCAATGATGCAATTCCTTTGCCACTGAGACCTTCTCTGGGATTGGGCTGTGAATAAATGTGTGAATGTTGATGACATATGTCCTGTAATACTTTATCATGTTTCTTTCGTGTGACTTTCTTTCTAGACCCAAAGCACCTTGAAAATTTTGAAAAGTATCTCAAAACAATGAACTGTTCAGAAGAAATTTGTCTGCTCACCACATTTGCTCAGATGGCACAAACCAAACGGGCTGATGTTGATGAGGATTTTATCAAGATAATTGTTCTGGAGATATATGAGGTGAGTAACATTAGTAGTCCATTCAGAAAAGGGATGAATGTGCTTTTTTTCTTTCTAACAGTGGAAGGTGTGAAACATCCGTGGTTTCTGTAGTCTGTTCTACCATGGAACTAAGAAGTACTATTTCTCAGATTTATAATCTAGTACTGAATTAAAATATCCTAGAGTGAGTGTTCTTCTGGGAGTAAAACCAGCTTTATTATAGACCAAGCTAGAATGAAACAAATGAACAAAAATATTACTTTTGCTTCATTTTTCTCGTGCTAGTCTTAACTTGCAGCTCTGAAATTCATTGTGTGGTGTTTTTTCTGTGTGTGTAGTTGTTTGGGTTTTTTTCTTTGTTTGTCTTTTTATTCAGTAGGTATGGTAGTGGTGTTCCTGTGTTTAGTTTTGGACTCAATACAAAATAGTAGTTTCCTTATCTTCCAGGGTGCTTCAAGTTTTAATATTGGCTCTTACCAACTTTGTTCAGGATCAGCAAGTGCAATTCGGTTCTATATTTTCCAAAAGACATTTTATTGCACTGCCAAGGAGGGTCAGCCATAACCGGTAACTTCTTTGTGCTCATTTTCTCAGGTCTCTTATGTTAGTCTTTCTACAAGAGAGACATTTTCAAAAGTTGGTCGAGAACTCCTGGGAGCAGTTGCCAGCATCCATACACAGATTGTTTCTGTACTCTTGGATCGGATTAGAGAGACCATTGAGACAGTTGGGATGGTAAGTGCTCATATCTGTCATTTAAAGCAGGCACACAGTTAAAACTAGAGTCTGTACCAAACTCTGTTTATAAGATATGGCTTAGTATGAATGAATCACAGAATCACTGAATCATTTAGTTTGGAAAAGAGCTTTAAGATCATTGAGGTCAATTGTTAACACAGCACTGCCAAGTCCCCCAGTAAATTATGACCGTAAATGCCACATTTACCTATCTTCTAAATACTTCCAGGGATGGCAGGCCCACCACTGCCCTGGGCAGCCTGTTACAGTGCTTGACAACCCTTTTGGTGAGAAATTTTTCCTAATATCTGATCTAAACCTCCCCTGGTGCAACTTGAGGCCATTTTCTATTGTCCTATCACGTGTTACTTGGGAGAAGAATGGATTGTGTTAAAGACCTGTCCATGTTTTCTTCCATCATATCACTCTTTAAGATAAAATGGCATAATGCTGATTATTGTTCCATACTGAGTTCTGATTAGCCTTTGTTTTCTGTCCTCAAAGGTTTCTTTATACCTGTTTAAAGAACTGCCGCTGTACCTGTGGAAGCCTTCTTCATCTGAGATAGCCCTGATTCGTGACTGGTTATTAAATTACAGTCTAACAACTGTGGAGAATAAACTAGCCTGCATCATCTTGGAAGGGCTAAACTGGGGATTCAGTGAGCAAGTATGTATTAAAAACAGGAGGCCTGAACCTAGTGAGTTTTTCAGACCAAAATTTTTCCTTGAGCTGAGACTATAATTGAGTTTGAAAACAGTTAATTACATGCTTTTATGTGATAGCTGTACATTTGATGGAATAGGATGGGAACTTCACAAAAATTCTGCGGTGTTCCAGCTGAGGATTTGCTTGTGTTGCTTCCCTGTAGTGCTGCACTTGAGATGAAAAGAGATATTTAAGCAGGAGTTTCCTCTCTCTAAACAAGAGGAAACAGCTGACAGGGCGATATTTGTGAATCACTTGATAAAGATGTCTGTGGCTGCAGAAACAGAGGAATCCTTCAAGAAGTGTGCATGAGACTGGTATGAGTGTAGTTTGCAGGCTGGTATCCAGGTATGTTTTCAGAATGCCAGAAAACTAATGACTGACATTAGAGATTTCAAAGCCCTGAGCATTATTTAAATGATTGGAAAATATTCTATAGAATGGGTTACTCCAGAAGCTCCATCAGTTCAGAATCCAGTCGAGGGTGAATGCTTTTTCAGGAATCAGTATGTTTTGATCTTGGGCAAAAATAATTCTTTACTGTGGCAATTGGTAAGAAGAATTAAATGTTTAGAACATGGCATGTTCCAAAGTTTTGTGATGCAGTTCTGATTTTAGCAGGATGCTCTTCATCTGGATCCAGCTGTCCATTTTGAAGTTGCTTTGATGGTCCTGGAAGCGTATCAGAAATATCTCTCCCAGAAACCATATGCTGGACTACTTTCTGAAAGCATAAAACAGGTATTCCTCCTTCAGAATTGCAGGGAATGGCTTACTGATACTGATAAGCAGGAAAAACTGCAGGCCAAGACATTGTTTTCTGTTTTTTTCTGTTTAAAAGCTGTGTTATTTTGCTACTAGAACACTGTATTATACCAACTCTCAGTATTTTTTTGTACCCACAGAGCTATTTCAAAATAGTGTTAGGCTTACATTGAACATCTGTATGAGAAATACATGTTTTAAGTTTGACCTCCTTGTAGATTTATTTTATTATCCACCTGTAGTGGGATAGTTGCCAAATGTTCTTCCAAAGCATCCTTTATTCATATGGAGTTGGACAGTACTTGCTGAATGAAAGGCTACTTCTTATTCTGGTGAACATAAGAGACATCTTTCTTCTGCCTATTCTTGTAGGACAATTCTTAGTCCTACCTCATTTGAAGGCTCGAGTGTTAATCTCTTTAGGAGTTTTTCAGCAGTGATCAGTCTGTTACCTGAAAACCCTACAAACATTTATTACATTAATTTTACAGTACACTGGTGACTGAGGAAGGTATGGCTCCAAGTTACAAAAGGGGAATGGAAGGATAGAGTTATCAAGGTTAAAAGTTCAATCGAAGATGTTTCTATTTATTTATTCAGAAGTTTTAGCATTGTCCTGTGCTTCATCTTCTCAGTATTTCTTGTACAGTGCTTTCTCCTCCCCTCCTCTCCTGGGCTCATTTCCCCAGTCTTTTCTTCCCACACTCTTAATGTTCCTTGTTTCTCTGCTCCTTTCTAACTTACTTCTCTGCACTACTTAAACATAGTTTGTTGTCTTGTGCCAGCTAGATAAGTTCTTTTTTTAAGCCTGTTTCAGCCTTGGTTGCCACTTGTATTAGTGAATCTGTCCTGAGTTGCATAAGCTTGTAACTGGAACTTGAGAGAAAGTAATGTTTAGGTTCTTGTACTTCCACTCAGAGAGGGTGAAATATCTGCATTGACTTCCAGCTCTGCAATTTACACTGGTCATGTACAGTATGTTTTTCCCCAAAGATTTGTAATTTCTTCTGATCTAGACAGGGTCTTCATGACAATGGACAGACATAGATTACACAGAGACTGCCTGTCCACATTACAGACTACTTTCTGAGGTGTGGGTGCCAGGTTTTAGGCTTTTTATTGACAGATGGTATTTTTGTATACATATATATATTTTGTTCTCCTTTCACTACCAGTCTGAAATATTACTGAAGGTTGTGTCTGGCTTTTTTTAAGTAGGAAGGATAAATTTTAATCCGAGTATGTAGTTTGAAACACTTTAGGAAAAGAGTATTAAGTTGATCGATAGACTTTACCAAAGGGTATGGAGTTGGGAGAGGGTGAGGGGAGGTGGAAATCAAAGCCATAGAAAGAGAGATTTGCCTGGTTGTGTTATATGATATGTCTGATAAATAACTACTGTTGCTCTGATCTTGTATCACAGTGTTGTAATAGAAGAGGAAACTTACCCACGCTGTCCCAAGTCCTAGACTTGCCATATGTGCTGTACAATGGCTGTGCTTCCTCTCACTCCTGTTTCCGTTGCTTTGTTTCAGGTCTCCTACTTAGCCAGCATTGTTAGATACGGAGAAACACCAGAGACTTCTTTTAATCAGTGGGCATGGGGTTTGATTTTGAGGTTAAAGCTTCATAGAAATGACCATGGCGTGCAGCATGGCTGGCCTGCAGTCCCTGTGTCTGACAATGTGCTAGACATGACAGAGTCGGTCACACTTCACCCTCTCCTGAAGGCTGTCAAAGCCAACATCCCTATTGGCTGTTACTTGGCGCTGGCAATGACCACGCTGGGTCACAGGTAAGTCTGCTGTTTTGTGTTTACCTTGGATGGATGGCCCCAGTGACTGGGCAACCCACCTAATGATGAACTGAGGGCTATTAACATCTTTACTCATGTTTAAAGAGTAAAGGACTTCGGCTACAGGGGATTGAGCAGTTGTTCAGAGGCTACAGTTTCAAACAACATGACGTTTCCTTTAGATCGCTAATAGTATTGTTTGCCTTCTGCATGTTAGGGCCAAAAAAGTCATTAGAAGTAGTACTGAAACTAAGAGGTCAGCATTATTGCTATGGACAGGAATCTTTTTTTGCCACACTTACAGAAGGGGTTGTTCTACAGGCAGTGTTTCTTTCAGCAGAGCTGCAGCACAGCATTCAGAAAACAGTGAGGAGGAAAAAACCTCTTATGGTGGTAGTGATAGAGAGCTTTGTAACCTTGATGCTTTTCGTGGTTTAAGCCCAGCTGGTAACTCAGAACCATGCAGCCGCTCCCTCACTCTCCCCTCTTCTTCCTCCCCCTGCTCCTGAAGGGATGGGGAGGAGAATCAAAAGAATGTAACTCAGTGGGTTAGATAAGAACAGTCCAGTAACTAAGGTATAATACAAAACTACTACTGCTACCACCAGTAATAATAATGATAAGGGAAATAACAAGGGGAGAAGGTACAATTGCTCACTACCCACTGACCGACACCCAGCCCAACCCAAGGAGCGATCTGGGCCTTCTGGGTTAACTCCCCCCAATTTATATACTGTGCATGATGTGCTGTGGTATGGAATACCCCTTTGGCCAGTTTGGGTCAAGTGTCCTGTCTCTGCTTCCTCCCGTCTTCCCCTCCTCCCTGGCAGAGCATGAGACTTGAGAAAATCCTTGGTTGGAGTAAACATGACTTAGCAACAACTAAAAACATTGGTGTTATCAGCGTTGTTCCCAGGCTGAAAGTCAAAAACACAGCACTGCACCAGCTACTAAGAAGGAGAAAAAATAACTGCTACAGGTCAACAACCCAGGACAGTATCCACCCCTTATTCCATACCATTCACGTCATGCTCAGATCCCACATTTTTCAGTATATCACTTTTGTCTCATAAATATATATATATATGTGTGTGTGTGTGTGTTTATATACACCCACACCCATACCCAAAGAGAGAGAGATCATTCCTTAGTCTGTAGACCAATCCCTATAAAGTTGCTGAATTCATCCAGTCCATGATGTCAGGCTCCATTTCTTGTAACAGTCTTTCAGGGCAGGAGGGACAGTGTGTAGTGTTGGGTTGTTGCCTGCTTATGACACAGCTGAACTTGTCTAGTCACTGCTGAGCTTGTCTGGTTTCATATGAATTCATTCTTTGTTTGGGGCGACGATTGGAGGGAAGTCAGGGTCAGTTGCCGGTGACCTGAAGATATCTAGCTGGTGGGCTATAGAAGAGTTCTATAACAGGCAACAGCATACAATTGAGTTCATTGGCTGTTT